ATATATATAAAATATATATATATAATAAAAGATACGATTAAATATGTAAAACTAAGTATCCTAATGGATACTATGTTGAATAGTATATATTTTTTTATTGTTATCTATCCATTTAAATCATTCAATCAATTAAAAATTTGACATTAGGCATTTATTTTTTCATAAGCATTTAAGAAACTTTTGATGGCATCAGTCATTATGACAGTGTTATTTTAACGTGTTATTTTAACTAAACAAATGTTTAGTCAATAATCATTGCAACGTCGATCATCGTGAATAGTAGAATTAATAGTGCAGTTATTCTTGCACGACTTCGGTTTAAAAGATTTTTTATTATTTTTTTTCTTTCTTTTTTTTTTCTTCCATAAATGGCATCCATAAATTTATAAAATTGTGCAGTCTGCAGATAAAATTATATAATAGAGGAAGACGAAATCATCAAAGCATTTCTACTTTGTTTAAATGATTAGGATTTTTTCTTTTTTTAAGAATTTGAATTTCTTAAATATATAAGCTTGTTGGGCTGATTTTGCAAAATTCTTGCTACAGATTTGCGAATTACGCATTTGATACATACGAGTACCCGCTTGCTGAATCGACGACTACATAATGACTGCGGATGTGCACTTTAAAAAGTTATGGAGAACGCTTAAATACTATCATCAAGTAACTCAACCTATTATCGTCGTTATTATACCCGACTTTGAGGCATATCTGGAGTTTGCGGATGCCGTTAAGGCCTATCCCATGTCTTTTCCGGTGTGGTTCATTCTGTTTCTCTACACTTCCGACAACAGCACCTATGATCACTGCCATGAACCGATCGATAATCCCTTTAATCTAACGTTCGACACGCAGATGTTAGTATTGTGTAACAATGAGACGATATTGCGGGAATGGTATTCCATCAAGGGCGATATCGTCAAAATCTTTGACCTGGCAGAATGGAGAGACGATAAAGGATTCATTCCTCTGACGAATCTGTCTCTCTACGAACGGAGGAGAGACATGGAAGGAGTTGTCCTACGAGCGGTCGCGGCCAAGGTGCTCAATAAAATTCAATGTGCTATTTTCTATATGTATAATATGTATATTAATATCCTAGTAGCATAGCTTGGTTGACATAACAAAGGATTCATTCGTTTATTTAATTCTCTATAAAGGAGAAAAGAAATATATGCGATAAAAAAAGAAATATCTTGCGTTTGTCGTTATACTTAAGGATGTTTTGTCTATACAATATCAAAATATTATTATAAAAATTATATTATACAATATCAAAATATTATTATAAAAATATTATTATAAAAATATTATTCAAATAACAATAAAATAATCATCCAAAGATAATTAATATCAGTCAATAACATTAAAAAAATTTTGACGATATTAATTAACGATATTAATTAACATAATTCTATAATTTTTACGTTTATAGAAATAATTGTGAAACGTTTTCTGTTCAATTAATCGGTATTAAATGAATGCAGAGTTTATTTTCCACAATTGATGGGAATCAGGTGGCTACTATGTACGGAAAAGTATTGGAGGAACTCATGAATTCTCTCAACTTTACTGTGAAGATTGTCTCGCAAATAAACGAACACGGTGTACAGAATCGGCAAACTCTTATTTGGTCTGGAGTGATGGGCAAGATTGTATCGGGTCGCGCGGATTTCGCTGTCGCCGACATGTCATTGACGAGTCTTCGAAAGCGTTATGTCGATTTCATGCTGCCCTTAATCATATCTAGAATAAATCTGTATATCAAGGAACCGGGAATATGTGGCGTCAAATGGATCGGCTATTTTCAGGTAATACGATTAATTAACGTTGAAATTATGGGTTTAGCTTTATCTTGTTAATGTTGTTTCGAAAATAATAGATGAGAGTTACTTAAGACATATCGTGGTATATTTACTGGTCATCTAAATCGTATTTCAATTTTTTTCTTATTACTATATAAACAATAATAAATAAAAATATGTGATGAATATAAATATAGATAAAAATTTTTTGTATAGTAATAGATACAAGACCATTGTTTAAATTACTTTTTACATAGAGATGTGCGAATTCAGATTTTTTGACTCCGAATCGAAGCGAATCGAATTTGAAAGTTAATTAAAATGAAGTGAAAATTGCAAAAGTAAGCAAATATTCATCAGAATATTTATAATTAATTTCATTGTGACCACTATCTATAGTGTATGTATATGTGTATGTAATATATGTATATATAATATAAATATAAGATAAGATTG